CCGGTTTTTGCCTCCAAGTCGGCCCCTGCACCCAAACCCTAAACCCTAAACCCTAAACCCTAAACCCTAAACCCTAAACCCTAATTGCTGCGAGGGCGTCGGGGCTTCGCCGCGGCCGCCGAGGGTTTAGGGTTTATGCCGAGGGTTTGGAGGCTAGGGTTGGGCCCCAACTGCGGACACCTAGGACTGAGGCCTTAGGGTTTAGGGTTTAGGGTTTAGGGTTTAGGGTTTAGGGTTTAGGGTTTACCGTATTCAATGAGAGTCAAAGCCGTTTGGTAGTGTTTAGATTTGCAAGCCAAAAAAAGGGGAGAGCGGCCCCCCCTTGCGAGGGCGTTTGGTGCAGCGCCTTTGCGCAGCAGCTGCAGCAAAACCCTAAACCCTAAACCCTAAACCCTAAACCCTAAACCCTAGGCTTTACGGGCTGAGGCCCGCCGCGCGGGGCAGCAGCAGCACAGAGGAAGGGTTTAGGGTTTAGGGTTTAGCGGCAAGGGTTTAGAGCCAGAGAAACGCGGGGCGCCCGCCCCCGTAGACAACTCGAGGGTTTAGGGTTTAGGGTTTAGGGTTTAGGGTTTAGGGTTTAGGGTTTACCGCCTGTGGCTGTCCATGGCGTTGACTAGCCATTTGTTTTCTGGGGTTTTGAGTGTCTCTGCTGCAGCAGCAAAATCTCCTTCTCTTACAGCTTTATGAAAAGCAGCAACTGCTGCTTCTGCTGTTGCTGCTGCTGCTGCTGCTGGTTTTGCTGCTGCTGCTGCTGCTGGTTTTGCTGCTGCTGCTGGCCCTGCTGCTGCTGCTGCTGGTTCTGCTGCTGCTGCTGGTTCTCCTGCTGAAAAGCAGCAACTGCTGCTTCTGCTGTTGCTGCTGCTGCTGCTGCTGGTTTTGCTGCTGCTGCTGCTGCTGGTTTTGCTGCTGCTGCTGGCCCTGCTGCTGCTGCTGCTGGTTCTGCTGCTGCTGCTGGTTCTCCTGCTGCTGCTGGTTCTGCTGCTGCTGCTCCTGGTGCTGCTGCTGCTGCTGGCTCTGCTGCTGCTGCTGCTGTCGTTGCAGTTGTTTTGTCTTCTGCTGCTGCTGCTGCTGCTGCTTCTGTTGCTGCTGCTGCTGCTGCTGCCTTGGGAGAGGGCCCCCCGGGGGCCCCCGGGCTCGGGGAGCTGCCGGACATGAGGGTTTGGGGTTTAGGGTTTAGGGTTTAGGGTTTGAAATTCGAGGGTTTAGGGTTTAGAAATGATAAAAAAATAAAGAGTGAATAACTATGAAACTTAGGGGCAGCAGCAATAGCAGCCGGGGCTGCGGGCCCCAAACCCTAAACCCTAAACCCTAGCCGCTGAGCCCAGAACTGCAAACCCTAGCCGGCGCTTTCTTCAAACAAACCCTAAATTAGGGATTAAAAACCACAAACCCTAAACCCTAGCAGCAGTGTGTTTCTTTATTTCAGCTGGAGAAGTGTTTGGGGTGCTCTTTCTGCGCGAGGCGCGAAACCCTATCGGCTGGGCGGCAAACCCTAAACCCTAAACCCTAAACCCTAAACCCTAAACCCTAAACCCTCGACGGGAGATGGCGGACCCCGGGGAGTGGTGTTCGGGAGGCGTGGAGGTGCCGTGTCGCGCGTGCAAGGAGAAGGGCGAGGGTTTAGGGTTTGGCGAGGGTTTAGGGTTTGGCGAGGGTTTAGGGTTTGGCGAGGGTTTAGGGTTTGAGGAAGAGCTGCTGCGGCGGTTTGAGCTGCTGCAGCACTTCAGCGTGGGGCCCCGCAGCTGCTGCTGCGTCCGCGAGTTCAGGTGTACGTACACCTCGCTCCGAGTCTTTCTTTGTTCCATTCCTTCGCCAATAAACACTTTATTTATTTCTTTCAAAACTGAAACTCACACTGACGAGGGTTTGCCCCACACTCTTAGCAGCAGTGTGTTTCTTTATTTCAGCTGGAGAAGTGTTTGGGGTGCTCTTTCTGCGCGAGGCGCGAAACCCTATCGGCTGGGCGGCAAACCCTAAACCCTAAACCCTAAACCCTAAACCCTAAACCCTAAACCCTCGACGGGAGATGGCGGACCCCGGGGAGTGGTGTTCGGGAGGCGTGGAGGTGCCGTGTCGCGCGTGCAAGGAGAAGGGCGAGGGTTTAGGGTTTGGCGAGGGTTTAGGGATTGGCGAGGGTTTAGGGTTTGGCGAGGGTTTAGGGTTTGAGGAAGAGCTGCTGCGGCGGTTTGAGCTGCTGCAGCACTTCAGCGTGGGGCCCCGCAGCTGCTGCTGCGTCCGCGAGTTCAGGTGTACGTACACCTCGCTCCGAGTCTTTCTTTGTTCCATTCCTTCGCCAATAAACACTTTATTTATTTCTTTCAAAACTGAAACTCACACTGACGAGGGTTTGCCCCACACTCTGGAACATTTGGTCTTTCTCGGCAGCA